ATATATTCACTATAAAGACAGTATTGCGGGAACATCAACCTTGGATAATAAGGGTAGTTTGAAATATTTTATCGATTGGTAATGTCAAAAATAAATAAAAATGTATGTAATACCGAAGTCCAACAAAATGGCCTGTAAACGGCCGTAAGCGGCGTAAAAACGATATAAAACGTCGAAAAGCGGCGCCGTTTTCCGTCAGCTCGGAAAACGGTGACAATAGTGTGAAAAACGATCGCTGTTTTCTAGCGAAAAAAACGGCTTGTAAAACGGGCTGATGGATTACGACGAAAGACGACGAAAATTAATGCCCCATTGCGCCGTTTTATAGCCATTTGAGGCCGTTTTCGATGCCGTTTCAGACGGTCGGAATGGTCGACCTGGGTAGAGTCAAAAGTAAAAGAAAGAACCTAAGTCATTCATATTTTAAAGAAATATTATGATAATTTTAAACTTAAAAATTCTTCCGAAGATTTATAGGTAATGAGAGGTTGTGAAAATTTAGTTTTTAGAAGAAGAAATAAATGAATTCTTCATTCTCTTTTTAGCTATATAACTGATGTTTATTGTAAAGAAGAATAAAACCTTATGATGACTTATTGTTGTGTCAAATGAGTAAATTTAATTTAAAAACATTTTCTGAAAATAGTTGTACGTTTATTTCGACTATATATGGGAAAGCCGTATTAGGAATAACTTTATTGAAATAACGATATTGTTTGATTATACCGTTGATGGCTTCTATAATCCATCTAATCTTAGTTGCAATGCAATTATTATTTGCTTCAGCAGTCTAAAATACGAAAAATGCAATGTATTTAGTCATGAATACGAGTCTAAGTTTTACACAACATACACTATATTTTTTTTTGGATTTGGACAGAAACGATGGCATACATTCTATAAATCCTAATGATCGAACATAATCTAAAACATCACGAAAACCTCTATCTATTACTAATGTATCACCTGCTTTCAAACAACTCAAGATATCTTCTTGATTAGTACGAAGCAAGTAATTAGTAATGTTGGCATCATTGTTCCACCTGTCGACATAATAAGGTCCGATGGCTGAAACAATGTAGCCATCTGTGGCCACTATCATCATGGGTTTAATCAACGACCGACTCTTGTGTAGACTAAACAGTTTCCGTTGTAGCAGATTGTTGGTACTCCTCTGAACATAAAGATATGTTGCATCAAGAACAAGTATAGCAGCATTCCTTCCATCATTGAGAAGCTGTTTAGCTAATGGCCTGGTATGACATTTAATAACTATTTCACGACTGATATGATGGAATCCTATATGTGAAGGTACAAAATGCTTGACAAGTGCCTTACGAGCACTTTCAATAATGTGCCCTATAGTACTTATATGTTCAATTGAAAACAGTGTCGAACGCACCTAGTTGCTCAATCCAATTCGAAGTTTTGTAAGTAGACAACCAATAGCCACTGAAATCGATCTATTATCAGTATTTCGCATTTTAACTTGTTTACATAAAGTATCAAAATCAGATTTATGAATTCCAGTAAGTATAAAATAATCATCATTAGAATATTTGAATGGATCATAAAAAGTGATAGATGCTTTTTTGTATTAGCATACCATTTGTTGAATTTTTTATGGGTAGTGTTAAATCACCAATAATATCCATAATATCATTAGTCACAATTGATGTTATAGGAGGATAATTTTTTTTAATCATATTTAAACTTTCAAGTTTTATATCGCCGCCATCTAAATGATCATTGCAGCAATGTAAACTAGGTCTTAAGTAAATGGTATGTTGAATAAGCATTGTAAACCTGATAGTTTTAGAAATAATGCCGGAATCTGTTCGATTGAAGTCAGACCCACAAATAGCACAGTATTTGTGCGATGATGTGGCAAAATGAATAGGTAGAAAGATCCTATTTGCTACTAGTAGAGAACATTGAACAAAATCATCAATTTTGGGTGTGTCAATAGTTCACTGTTGATTTGCTAATCAATATGACATTATCGTCAATATCCATAGATTAGGTGCTTGTACTAAGCTGCGACATTCCAATAGAATTGTTTAAAGTTATTCTTTTGTGATGTTTTCTTCGACAAGCTTCACATATAGTAATGTCGTTGGAAATGAGCCGTAAGTGTAACAATTGATATAAATCGCCGATTGCTCGAAATAGACTTTTCGATTTATACAATGTATAGCAACGATTAGATCGAATCAACAAATTGCATAGACCACAATGTCTAGGGTATGACATTGACGCAGGAATGAGGAGATGGCAATAAAAATTCTATACACAATATTATTTTCCATTCCAAGAAAAGCAACCAAAGTAACTTACTCAATAGTTATATATTTCAACTTTCAACAAAATAAAACTAACAGAAAAATGTATTACAGTTAACCTAGAATACGTTAAGTCGTTGACTCTTAACGAAAATGCCTATTTTTACGAAACTGGATGGACAACAGCAGTAATTTATTTAGAGAAATCGGACGAGAAATACGACATTTTTTTTCTTTTCCTATCTCGTGTACAATTCATTTACTTGAGGCATGGTTTATCGCTAACTAACACCTAGAAATGAATTTCCACAGTCTAAAAACTTCATCAGATATAATTTATTTATTGCTCTAGAGATTCACGTTGTTGCAATACATACAATTACACCATAAACATTTTTCAAAAAGTTTAAGTTTTAAATTATCATAATATTTCTATAAAATGTGAATGAATAATGGTCTTTCTTTTACTTTTGACTGTTACATACATTTTTATTTATTTTTGACATTACCAATCGATAAAATATTTCAAACTACCCTTATTATCCAAGGTTGATGTTCCCGCAAGACTGTCTTCACGCTGAACATCAGACATATATGAACAAATCTGGTGGAAAAAGTTACTTTTATCCTAAATTCAATTTTTCAACCTTGTTGCACAACTTTTTCTTTATTTTTGAGATCACCAGTCGATGGAGCTTGAAAAGTTACCCATATGGTCCAAGTTTCACGTTGCAACTGCACTGGCTAAAAAATGGTCAATTTCTGCCCCGGAATCTCCATCTTTTTTTCGACATAAAAAGTTCAGATTCGTAGAGAACTCAAACTTTTCGGTTAGAAAAAGTATTTTTCACTAAATTTTAACATATAATTATTTTGTAGTGGCATCAACAATGAAAAATAGGATCCACAGAATGTTTCGGACTATTTTAGGAGTAAAAGAGTTTTAAGAGCTCTCATTGTGATATTCGTAAGCAGCATCCCTGAATCTATAGACACAACTAGTTTTGATTCGTAGAAAAAAAACGTTTTTCGTGACACCTGAGGAACCCCAGAGACAAAAATTGTTAATGTCGATTTTTGGAAAATAAACTTGAAAAATGTGATCAGGAACGATCCCGTATTCGAACTGGATAAAAATAAATCAATTCTGAGTGAGGGAGGGGGGCGAAAAAGGGCCTTATCTGCCCGGGTCCTGTTTGACCCCCCTCTCATTTTGTCCAGTTTTGACTGGTCCGTCTCTTCCTACCTCTGCCTGAATGTCCTTTATAGATAATCTCTTATAAAATGCATCAATGGGAAATCAAATGAATTTATTCAGAGAAACAAAAAAAGACATTGATATGGACGCACAAGAATACGTTAATTTTTGTTGAAAAAAAAAGAGAAAGAGAAAATATAGTGATGCTTAAAGAAAGAAGTGTGTGATTATCGTCATCAGTCAGTCATTGTCGTCGTCGATGTTTTGTCATGCAAAAAAGAATGTTGTCATTTTTTCTAAACAGGCATATGTGTGTCAAAGAAATGAAAAGCGAAAAAAAAAGACTGATATCGTTCAATAGTAAACGAAGAAATTGGAAGAAAAAATTTTAATAAGTTGTTTTCGACTCTAACATCAATGCATACGACAGATGATTATATAAGAAAGTGAAACTAATACAAGAATAAAACCAATTTCAACTTGTTCCGGCGCACCATCAAGTTCTTCTGCTTCCTTGTATTGATAAAGGAAGTTTCCTAAATAACATCGATTTATTGTCAGTGATTGATTGACAAAATTTTATAATACTTACTAGTATATGCTGTAATAGCTACAACACATGCAAATAAACCCAATGCAGCAATAGCTGATAAACAGAGAAGACAAGCAAAAGTACCACTAATCGCTCCTAGGGCACCACCAAGTGCACCAAGTCCAAGCGGATATCCAATTGGAGGTGGAGGAAGCACATCTGGCCTTGTTGGTGGTGGTGGTAAACGTCTTTGCAAAAGTTGGAACTATTTTTAGTATGTATTTAAAAATAAAAGAAGAACCTTACCGTCTACCGTACACTCCTCGACCAGGGTAAGCCATCTCAGCCTATAATGATCTAAAACAGAAAAAAAACATGTCCAAGATTATCTGGTTAACAACTATTCACATGTGTTCAACGATAACTTTCTTTGTTCAAAATATCTTTTTTCTTCTTTTTCCAGCTAGCTGCACGATAGTCTTCTCTCGCCTAAAATCCTAACGGCCAATACAACAAGCTACAGATTTTTCTTCACTTTCTCTCTCTCTCTATCAGTATATATTTCTCCTAATCAATCGCCCCTCTCTCATAACTCATTGCTTCGAATGTCGTCATCACATTGTCTTGTCGGGGATCCCAGTGTTTGTTTTTTTCTTCTCGTTCTCTCTCTCTCTATCTATCTATCTCTTTTTTTTTGACATAAAAATGCAATAATAAATTATTTGTTGTACTTTTATTTTGTTTTATTGTTTTTATGAATAAGGAATTTTCTACCTTTTCAGAATGTTGTTAACCGGTTATCATCAGCTTGAAAGATTCGTATTAGATCAAACACATTTCAGAACCATAAAACATAAATCCATAACATGTAATCAATTTCAAATAATAATCGTAATAACATTTTTAAATCACCATATGAATATAACTATATAAAACGTAGTATAATTATACTTACATGTAATTCCAAATAATTATTATACGGAAAACATAACCATTAAATTTTTATTCCTTTTGTTCCAATAAATACCATCAAATGTTAATGATAAATTATTACGAAATAAGTGACGTAGTTTGAATTAATTAAACTCCAGACTTTATAATAGCTGCCAAGTAATAATAAGTAAAACAGAAAGAAATGCGTTGAGAGTTTTTTTTGTAAACGAATCATGTATTTTTTTTTGAAAGAAAAATGCACTAATAGATTATTTGTTTTATTTTTATTTTTATTTTGTTTTATTGTTTTTCATGAATAAGGCATTTTCGACCTTGTCAGAATGTTGTTAACTGATCATCATGACCTTTTTGAAATATTCATTTTTATATGAGAATCTTATAATGAAAGATTTAAAGTATGCACCTTGGTCGTGAACACAAACGATTAACATTAACATTAAGTTAGAAGATCATCCTGGAAAGATAAATTGAGAATTAATGTACTTGATAGTAATTATTCTAATTTAGATGTTGTTAATAATGAGACCATGAAAATAATCTGTTTAATTTATTTAATGAGCACAAACGGAAAATCAATAATTACTACTGACAATGATTACGTAGCTTATATTACTTACATACGTATATCGGTGATAATAATCATATGATGATATAGATGTGTATAGAACCAATGTCAATAATAATGGTATAAATTTAAGATAATGTTTATTGTATCTCAGTATCAAGTGTAGTTGGCAAAGTATATAGGTTCAAATGTGAACCACAGCAAATTTTTTATGCAGTATTAAATAGAGGTAAGATCGATGTTACTAAAGTGAAAGTTCCTATTTGATTATTTTCTTGAATTTTTTTAATAATTTGTCTTACTGTTTCTGTTATAATGAATATCTGATTTCGTAATAGTTAAGATTTATTATTGTTGGTATTTGTTTTATAGTTGCATTATCGTTCATGTGAGCAATAATACTGAGGGAGGATGAGGATATAAGGAAGAGATCAGTTGTGGGTGACCGTTTGTTTTGGTACATGACAATTCATCCTCTTACACTTCGTTCGAATTACGTCTCATGTCATCATTTTACTAAGATCAACTCTATAGTTATTTCAATATACTTAGGGTGGTCCAAAAGTTCTGGCCACGGAGTTTTAAATTCATTAAAATACTCAGTTTTGAAAGTTTTATTGCATGAATAGTTAGTAAAATATCTCGTCTATAATTATACATATA